GGGGGGGGGAGAGAAGACTCTCACCTTTAAACACATTTACAAGTGAATCCCCATTAAAAAGACACATTTCACACACAAAGCATACAGCAGAATCCTTTCCGATCATGTTGGGCAGGCGTGGTTATTTGGTCGCTTTAAGGGACAAGCTTGACCTTCACCAAAAGTGTGCATTGCCTTACCTAAAGGAGAAGTTTGGTTTCATTGCTGTGTATATATGTTTGGTTAGAGAAAAAAAACTCTCCTTGTCTTATTAAAGAAACTGAATAATGGTCCGAAAACGTTACCTTCGATTTTCTCAAAACAACTTAAAAGCGACCATTTAACAGAGATCAGGCGATCTTAATAGATGTACACAATATAGGTTTAGAATTCTCATAAAAGGGGTTTTAAAAATAGCTGAAAGATCCTTCGCCCATCTTGCTCCATCTGTTTGGAATTTCCTTGTGCAATCCCGGAAATACATAACACCGTAGTCTAAACTTAAGGAAAGGGGGTGGGGGATACACCTAAAGGCTATCTCGCTTGTTAGAGGATCAAATTTTACAAATTTTCAACCATATAACTAACATAGTCAGGATCAGGAGTCTTAAAATCCGCATTCTAATTTGAGAAAAAAAGTTTCGTTTCCATGGATACGGCGGCCATTTGGATTTTGCTGACATGTCTTACGTAATGAATACCACACTTATTTTTCCTGGAAATATATTGGAGATTTTTTTGCATGCATGTTTGCAAACATAAGATCTACAAATTTGTCTGTTCAATTTCTCCTAAACAAATTAGAACATTTTTGATGAATTTTTTGTCGTGGGGTACTATTCAGGTTTACCAAACATCCATGAAAATCCACACTCCTGACACCACCAACAAAAATCTATTCCACATATAAAAAATTCAGCAGACAGATATTTATATTCGATCAAAAATGAGGGAGCTATTTTTAAAAAAAGTATATAGAAAAACCGCACTTTGAGGAAACTGGCGATAAAGGATTGACTTTGTGAGGAAATGGTGGTGACAAACATGCCAGGTATGGGACAATAAGGCGTTAGGGGGTTCAAAGGCTATGAAATAAATGTAAGAGAGGATGAAGAAGCTAAAATTGCCTACAACTCAAAATCCATAATTTTGAGCCAGATCGGGACTTTTTGGATGTAACCCACGGGTCTATTCTAAATCTAGCTTGGAAAAGGAAGACAAAACCATCACACCGGGGCGCTTGTAATTGGTGATATTGTTGAAATGTTAAGTATCCTATCCTGACTTGAAATGTTGACACAACTCTATTACATTATTTGAGAGTTGGGACCTCCGAGTTTAATGTCCATCCTGGAAAGGACCGAGCCAAATGAGGAAATTTGTGTTCAGTAAAGTACCTATAACCCCCCTGGGTGGTGCCACTGACTGAAGTGTCTTTAGACCATTCTCAAAGGGGGGGCATTTTTAGTTCTAATGCTCATAACTGCCTGGACTACAAGGGGGCATTTCTCGTTCAAGCACAGTAGAATTGTAAATGGGCCGATTCACCAAGTCACGCTCATAACTGTGCCTGATCTACAACGGGGAACTGCTGCTTTTTCTTTCCTAATCCTTACTACCGTTATTTTCCTCTACCTCTTTTGTATTGTGACCCGCTATTTCCGGGGTGCCTTAACAGTCGAAGCACACTTTGTGCTGTTGAAGCTAGAGAGGTGAGTAGAGTAAGTCTAATGCCCTGTAAGAACTTCTCTGTTGACATCAACTCATTGGCGCTCATATGACCTTATGCAGTTGCGAGCGCCGTAAAACTACTAAAACAAAGTACCTATCCCAAGGACACAACATCGGACCGAGCTGAGGCATGAATACCCGACCCCGCAATCTCACGATTACAGATCCAGTACACTAACCACTGGGTGCGGTAGCGGAGCGGTCAGTGCGATTGTCTCCGAAGCGGAAAGTCCGGATTCGAGCCTTGCGTCGGACACTTATTTTTTTTCGCCCCCTCCTGCCCACCCAGTAGTAAAGGGTACCTGACTTCGAGTTGGGGAAGTAAAGGTGGCGTGGAAAGGAACTGGTCACCCTACCACAATAATATGCCGAAGGCCCAGGAAGTTGTCTCACTAACAAAACAATCTCCTATGTCTGGATCGGATGCGGGAACAACTTTACTTTACACTAACTACTAGGCCACGGACGCCAACTCTGACTAAAGGGCAGAAAACAATCCTGTGGCCTGAGTGAGGATTCAACTCATCACATCATATCAAGCGCGTGTTACGACCTGTTTATCGAAATAAGCGCGGTTTATATTGGACTAAAATGTGCGTACACACCCATGCATGGGTTGTAGTAAGCACACACAGCCTATTTACTGACATATTATTATAATTATAAGCAGGCACCCAAGGCTTCTTTGTAGCACAGGGAGACCTACTTACTGACTCACCAAATGTCCGGTCTCAATGTCTGTCGTTCAGATTTTAGAATAAAAGTTCATTGGTCAAATTAAATCAAAATCAAGTTGGGTTATAATGTTGGTACGAGCTTTACGGCATTTGCAACACAATTAGGTTTATAAGTGCCGAAGATTCGGGGTTTAGGTTAGTTTTAGTAAGAGTTTTACGGCACTTGCAACACAATAAGGTCATATAAGTTCCGAAGATTAGAGGCTTTACAAGAGAGTAACAAACATAAAAAAGAAGGAGGAGAGATGAGGACGATAGATGCTTGAAAGGAAAGAAGGAGCAAACCGCACTAGAGCACCCGCCAACCACCCACTGTCTCAATGTCTGCCGTTCAGATTTAAGGATAAATGTTCATTGGTGGAATGCAAGACCAGGCTCGGATTATGTTTGGATACGAGTTTTGTTATGTTTTTAAAACAGCATTTACAACGCAATTTTGTCTATACTATAACTATAAGTGTCGAAGATTGGAAGTTTAGTTTAGTTTAAGTAAGAGTTTTACGGCACTTGCAACACAATAACGTCGTATAGTGCTGAAGATTAGAAGTATTTAGAAGTGTTACAAGACAGTAACAAACACAAAAAGGTGGAGATAAAGGTTTGATAGGAAAGAGAGAGAAAACCACACCAGAGCACCCGACAACCACGGGCAAGATTAGAAGTGATACTAAAAAGAAACACACAAAAATGTTTGATAGCGAAGAAGAAGCAAACCACACCCGAGCATCCGCCAACCACCCACGTTTGACGTTGCTCAGTCTAAAAACAACTTTCAAATTTTAAGATCAAATTCACATGTACTCATTTACTGGCTGCCTGGAACAAAGCCACTTAAAAAAATATTAATATACTCTGTCACATTTTTAAGTATACATATTTTGAAGCTCAATAAAACAAAATCTATGCTACCAATTATTTTCAAATTTACACACTGATTACGCGATATACCTGTCGCTGGTGAGCTGTTTTCAGATTTCTGAACGCACCAGTGGTTTTGTAACTGCATGCGTGCTACATGTTTTGTTTTGTTTTTAATTACTCATGATACGGCAATGATTTGGTTAAAAAAGAAGCACATATCAAAGCTTTGTCATTTTTGTAAAAATTCGCCAGTGATAAAACGTGTTAAGTCTACGTTCCATCAAGCCACGCCCAAAGAGAAAATGTGCGAAATCAGCTTGTTGGAATGATTCGCGGGGGTGCCCCAGTATCCACTGTTGCGAGATATTTTAATGTAACAAGAAGACATGTGTACACAACAATGGATCATGAGA